TGGCACGCCCCAGTATCCGCAGCGCAGGACTTTGATCTTCCGCGTTCTTCGCGTAGCTATAAAGTGTTGAAGGAAGTGCTGTATCACTGACAGTTTGCTATCCTTAGACGAGGTTGCTAATTATGTTTTTAACCTCAACCTGTTCGTCTTCTTCAAGGGCCAAAAATATGATTGAACTCCTCTTTCCCATTTATCGTTTACTCGACCAAACATACCACCCCTATGGTGTTTCCAACACCCCGACTAACCAGGTTCGAATCGTTGATAGCATCATTGAATGTGCGAAGCGTGGCTCGCCTGAAGTTTCTGGTGGAACTGAGACCGTTCTCTTCTAGTGCCACTGCACATCCACCTGCTTTTCAGATAATCTGCATTATTGCCTTTGTTGAGATAAATCTTCCGGAACCTCACACTGCACCGTGACGGCTGAACAGCCCTACAGAGCCATTTTTGTACATCGCTCACTTATATCGTTCAAAAGGGCCTCTAAAACGTACAATCCGATAGTATGCCGTAGGTAATGGGTTTTAGGTACAAAAATGTCGGTGCTAGCTGACTTACTATCGAGAAAGAGATCAGAGAAATGGTCTCAAGTAAATTTTCCTTTTGCAGTTGATCATCTGCATGACATGTAAGTGCAAAAATTATTTATTCTGGAAGATCCCATAGCGATGTATCATTAAGGAGTTGCCGTCCATCACGTCGATGGACGTCCTAATCATGAATGCATCAACTAGAGTCGAGCAACTGGCCTCATCTCCATTCGCCCTACACTCTTTCCAGCGTAAGGCAAATCCAAGGAGGCCTACTAGGGCCTTTTCAAAATGTCCTTTCAACTCGGGCAGGTATCAGCTAGAGTGTGGAGTATTCTTGAGGAGGATACACGTTCCTGCTTTCCGATCTCCTATTTGGTCATTGGCGACGATAAAGGTAATCTTCACTCTAAACTCATTTTCTTGCTTAGCTCCTTATTTCCTTGAAATTCGACTTCACTAATAACGCAGCTGTTGATATCTTGAACTATTTTGGGATGCGCCACGAATCTCACCACTTTCGAGACGTTCTGGATGTTTACAATTGGGTGTGGAGGGCCCTCATCGACCAGCAGTAAAACGCAAGGGCCTGTGTCCAGATGGTGTTTTGGAATCTTCGAGCAAGTGGTGCAGCTCTGTAGTGTGTAGTGCTAGTTGGCCCGGCCTAAAATAAGCGTGCAAAATGCAACTGTCACTGATTGGTACGGTACTCGACTTGTGTAGTAGATCGGAGAGCCCATGGATCGTTGTGGGCTTTCCCCCTCCATGGGCCTAACAAGGGAGGTCGTTCAGGGCGTGGTGAGCTTTTCGAAAACGGTTTTTTTGCATATTGTAGGGGCTCACGCAAGGACCTGAAAAGTGTGCTTCATTTTCGCTGCGCGCTTCCAGGAACGGTAAAAAACGAGTGAAAAGAAATCTTTGGAATCTGCTTCGTTCTGGGCCTCTTTACGGCGTAGGTCACTTGCAACTTTGACCAGTTGCTGAGTGGGGGTCCTTATAAAGGGGCTATTTGAATCGAAGCGAAAATCGCCGCAAGTGAGCTTCCAACTTGGGTCATGTGCTCAAGGGTGAACGGCTTCTTGCATGGTTTCATCAACGATAAGAGCGCTAGCAGTGTCGAGCATCGGATGGCCTAGCGGATAGAGTGGAGGTTTCGCAATCGGACAGTGATGGTGGGGTTGATGGTTCGGCTCCCCTTGCGTGGCGGCTTTTTGCATTTTTCAGATTTCGCTGTTCTCGCTTCCTATTAGTGTCCGCGCATGAATATAACTCGAATATTTGCCATTTATGGGCACATTCCTGAGTAGCTGTACCTCATGAGTCAGTGCGCCAATTTTCAACTATCTTTGATTTTCACGAACTCGCACTGAACAAGATTATTGTTGGACATCCTGGATCGCTGCATAGCCAGACAGTGGATCTGATTGCAAATTTAGTAACTTCTGATGTGTGCTGTCAATTATAGACTAATTGAGGCCACATCTTCTTTCCATTGAATTCGTTATGTACACCAATATAGGGAACGTTCACCGCTATTCTGTCGCCAAATTGCGTGGACGCCAAGAACAGGTGTTATGTTTGTGATCAGGGCCACTGATTACCACTAAAAACAAATTTTCAGTCAAAACAATTGTTTTGACCTTCTTGGGTTTGCTTATTGGGCTGTCCGGGGTCCGTAGCGTCAACGACACGTCATCGCTGTTACGAAGATGTGAGACTTCGCTCACACTGCCGACCAAATGGTCGGCCACCTACAACCCGAAAAAGTCAAAAAAAACTTTCGCTCAAAACTTGCTCCTGGGGGTAATCGACAGTCCTGATCACGATTCTAGACTTCATTTTCGGTTCCAGTGCGCGATTGGCACCCGGAAGAGCTGAAGTCTGGTGCAGTACAAAGCGAATTTCGAGGAGCGAAAAAGCAGTTTTGCTCCATAAAAGTAGGATTGTTCAGTTCATCGTGAATGTTTTGTTAGGAACAATTATTTAGACAAACATGGATCCAAAAAATGAAAAATTGTAGAAAAGCAAAATTTTGTCCTCGGTGGGATCCGAACCATCGACCTATTTTTTACGTTTTTTTTATTCGTAGAAGCGCGCAGCGAAAATGAACCTCAGTTTTGTGGTCCTCGTATGTGCCCCTACAATATGCACAAGACCATTTTGAAAAGCTCACCACGCCCTGAACGACCTCCCTTGTAAGTGGTCAAACCCTTGCCATTTCACGCGCTTTGAGAATCACTAAGGAAGGTGCGGTGGTCCAGAATCTGTTCCCATTTCTCAGTCCATACCGTATCGCTAAGCGTTTCTCTAACTGCTCGACGAGATATCAGGCAGCGTTGTAGAAGACTTTTCAGTATAGGAAGTGCGCCTGCACTTCTACAGTCCCTTTCTGCTAGTAGTGTTTTACTTGGGAAATTCGACATACTTTACAGCTTGCCATTAAGACGCGCAGCCCGGAAAAAAAAGGAGGCAGAAGCAGGGCGCTGCTACTGCAGGTGCTGGGGCTGGCAGCTCAACTTTGCAAGCGATGCAGAAACATTTATTAATTTCTATGTTTTTGAAAGAATCATAAATTAGATTTCAAAAAAATTTAAAATTGTTTGTGTTTTTCGTTCTTTGTGCACTGCAAATTCTGAATTCCAGTGTTAATGATCGATACGGGATGTGGCTGTGGGGACATCTATGCATTTCTTAAGCAGCAAACTATCATTAAGGAGAAGAAGATTATTGTTGTGAACACGCACAATCATCCGGAGCAAGTGCCTGTTAACTATTATTTCAGTGGTTTACTTTGCGTGATTTCCTCGCTTTTCAGACAGGTGGAAATTTCCGCTTCTCGACTACAGGCAGGCTTGGTATGGCACATATGGTAGAGGACCTTTGCGCTTCAGGACGAGATAAATATTACACTCAATTGAGGAATAGCAATTGGCAGTGGCAGGTACTTGAGGTTCATTTGTAGATGTCATGCTGTGATGAAAATGTGGAGATAAGGACAGTGACTATATTTCCCCTCCTAAAAAAGTGCAGAAGCAGAAAAAGCAGGTAACAACTTCGCCGAAAAGTCGGACCGCTGCTGTTCAGGGCTGCTCTTTATAGGTCCTACCAAACAATACTGTAATGCGTTTACTCCGTGTTCCATCCAATACACGTCCTGGCTCTGGGAAAAGGTTTGCAAACACGACCACATCTGAAAATCTCCTCTTGCTTGTGCGGGGTCGATATGCTGGCACAGAATATCGTCCCCTGAGCAGGCGCTATGTGGCGCTTTTTCCAACGAAGGGCAGCATGACTAATCAAGGTGCAATATGCTGCCCCAGACGGCCATCACATCTGCCTCGCTTGCCATTAATGGCTGCACAGTCACATCGACACTGGTACCCTTGTCGCTTGAGGTCTAAAAAAGGATAAAGTCTTCGCCGTTGATCAATCCCTTTGTGGGATGCGGCACGCATTCTACTTCCATTCAGAATCGTAGTGGCTTATTGAATGCGATGTGGCCTATACAATGACTTGCGGTGGCCAGCCGATGTACAAGTCAGTGTTTTATCCTCCCAGACGAATCTGGTACCAATTTACCGTCCCCGGAGGGTAGAAGGCTTGGTTGGCCTGGGCGGGAGTCGACCCGGGATTCGAACCCGGGACCGCGCGAATGGTGAGCGCCCCACTTGTCACTACACCATCTCCGCCT